ACTCTGTCTGTGCAAGTTCATGTTTTCCCTGAATATGATGGGCAGATCCACTGTCAAGAACCCAAGACCTTGTCAATGCTGCAGTCGAACGTGGAGGGTCGACTTGCTCTGTCTTTGTTGTCGTCTGGGCAGTCTTTGATGACTGCTTGACAGTGTCGTCATGCTTTCGGATCGCAGTTGGTGTGGCCACCGACTCTTTGTTGTGTCGGTAGTCGTACAGTTCGTCGTACAATAGTTGTGCCTCTTTTTGACATTCTCGTAAGGCCTCTGCACTATCATCCCACCATTTTTGCGGTACTTTGACGACGTGACCCTCATTCGGCAGCTCTTTCCATCTGTCCAGTCTGGCTCTGCCAGATATGGTATGGAAATAGTAGTCCACGTTGCGTACGTCGAAGCGTATCCGACGACGTATCTTGGTAGATGTCGCTGTGGCCTTATAAGTGTTGGCCATGAGGGTCTTGTCGCGGATGACGTAACTGCGGTCTGAACGGCGTGAACGTCTAAAGTTGGCAGGAGAACGTGCTCTAGTGTTGGGTGAACCACGGGACGATCCGCGGCTCGGATATCGCTTGCCACGTCCTTTGTCACTGCCATATGATCTATCACGGCCGCGTGGACTGCCGCGTCCGCCGCCACGATTGTCTCGTCCTCGGGAGGTAGATCTCGAAGATCTGTCGTAACGACTTCTCGATTGGCTGCGAGAGTCGTGGGACCTCCTGGATGTCGAACGGGATCGGTCGTATTGGCGTCGGTTGTCACGTCCCTGTCGTGAATCGCTTGCGTAGCGAAACCCCCCGCGTTGTGAAGACCGTTGGCTTCCTGATCCGCGGGATGGCGATCGGCCACGGCTGTCCTGGCTGGAAGTCCGTGGTCGACTCGGGCTTCGTTCAGGAGTCTTTGCACCAGGTGCGAGATGAGCGTATTTGCATGTGTCGCCTTTTGTGCACTTGTTCTGTGCGAAATCCTTGCACTGTGCGACGTGCGGGTAGTTACACTTATCACCTCTGGTACATGTGTTGCGCTTGGCAAAATCGAAGCAGAATGGCCTTGATGCTGGCTTCTTGTGATTCGCAGGAGTGGACATACTACGGCGGGGGTTGCCACCAGCCGTTGATGTTCTGGAAGATTTGTTGTTCTTCCAATCCCTGGAATATGTATGTAAAGCCTTGCACCGTTCACCATTGCGACAATTGCCTTTCTTCCATGCAGCGCACGCGTTGACCTGAGATCGTGTCTCGTGTTCGTACCGTAGCTTGTTTTGATTCTTCTCCAATTGTTTAATCTCCAGTATGTCCAGGACACGCTGTCGAAGCCAACCGTAGGTACGATTCGGGTCGCTCATCTTCATGCGCTGGTACTCGTACATGTCTTGTTTCATCCATGCATGTCTACGAATCTGTGTGCGAAATAGCGATTCCAATATCTTTGGATCGGGTACTTCTCGGCATTCCAAGAGTAAGGCGTCCCAATCGGTAATGAAACGTTGCAAATCTTCGTCTCTCATCCTCAGTTCTTTAAGGCGCTCGAAATCGTGCAGATCGTCGTCCACGTCTGTTACTTTGTAGGACTGTAGGATATGCCAGTATATCTGGCGTCCTTTGAGCATGCGTCCTGCTTTGTGCTCTCTGGTCTCGATGAGCCTGATTTGGTAGCGTAAGTGTGAGGATAAGATGTCGCTCAGAGCGGTTGCGAGTTTGCAATCGATGCTCTCAAAGTCTCCACTGTCTTGTAAATCCTCGAATGTACATTCGGGTTGTTCTGCCACGCATAGGAAGGCGTATGCTTTGGATGGTCGCCCTGAGGCGGCCCCGGAGTTCTTTCGCACTCTTTGCTGCCACTCCAGCAGCTGCGTGATCTTAGGCAAGACAGGTGCTCGGACGGTGTCTGACTCCTTGATAGGCGTCGTTGTATGGACCGACACCGCAGACACTGGTTGTGAGGGTATCGGTGCACCGTCGATGGTTGGTTCTGTGCGCACAGGTGACACATGACGTGTCTGTGCAGAAACTGCCGCGGAGGCTGCTCCTGGAGATGTACGTCGTTGTTGTCCTGCTGAAGCTTGTGGTGCTTCGGCGGACGCTGCCGTCGGCCTGTGCAGGTCGGCTGCAGGTCGAAGGTGAATGTTGGTGTCGTTAGTGTGGTCGATCAGCTGATTGGTCCAGCTCGTCATGTCTTCTTGTATTTGACCCACCTTTTGGCGTGTGTACTCATCAGTATCCCGAGACCGTTGGGAATACCGATCAAGTCGATGCTCGCATGCTCGGAGACGGGCGCTTTGTGCCTCCACCTCGCTTTCCAGACGTGCGAGATAACTCTCAACACGTACCTTCTCAGTATCTCTTTCATGAATAACCTGGGAGAGCTCTAACTGCGCGTGGTCCGCCGCCTTCTCAACCTCCTGCAACCTGTCAGTGAGGCGGGCGAAATCGTAAACCGTGGGAGGAGAATCCAGCTGGCCAGTCTGGGCTCGTCCGACACGCAACTCTGCCAGGGCGTCCTGTACACCAGGAAACGCTGCTCTATGTCAGAGATCCGGTTAGCGAGTGGCTGCACGACAGCGTTGGTCGCATCAAGCCTTTGAGTGATGACTCTCTCAGTACGCTGCAACATGTCGATCAGGTTCGACGAGTTTGCGTGTGCTTCGGTACGAAGCGTCGCCGTAGTGTGGTCTAGGTAAGATCGAAGATCATTGATCTGAGACTGAACGTCGCCGAGGTCTGTGGCCTCGGTTGGAGTTGGTCGGTTACGGAGCTGGTCGTGGATCTCATCATGTAAAATCCTGACCGCAGAAATGCCTGTGTCGCGTACGATCACAAGTTGTTGCTCCATCTGCGCGAGATAGTTGCGCAGGTTCTCGACCATCGCCGTTCGTTCACCTGAGTGTGACACCTCACGATCAACCTGGTACTGCAGTTCTCCTATGATGCGTCGATCTTCGGCGATCCTGGAATCGATGATCCCTAAGGCGCCGTCAAGATCGCGGCGTATGGCTGCAGTATCAGTGGCGTTCGTCTGAACGCTCTGTAGTAGTCCAGAGTATTGGCTGGACACGAAGGTTTCAACCTGGTCTCTGAGCTCAGCTATGTCACCTGCGGCGGACGTCTCCGCCAGCTGGTCGTCTGAGATGGAGAGGTGGGGAGCGTCAGCTTCCCTGTGTCCCCTGTCGCGGGGAGTGCATGGCCTCTGAGAGGCAGTGCGCGGGCTCGACCTGCTTTCGCCGTATGGGCCTGGGGCTCCACGGCGGTTGCGCGCGGACGAGCTGCGACTCGGACCATGTGTGTGTGGTGTCTCATCCGATGATACCTTGGGGTACCGCGTCTGTGGCTGTGCCGACACTGGTCTACTGAGTTCCTCGAAGGTAGCGACGTGCTCCGCCACAGGGACGGTCGCAGGGCTGGGGGTCCCAGCACCTGAGGTCCATCGGCGGTTAGCGCGAAAGCGCCCTGGAGTATCGAGACCGGTAAGGCTTTCGCCTGACGCGGTTGGGATTGCTCCCGACGGGGAAGGGGAGGGAGGATCGAAGGTCGGCGTGTGAAACTCCTTCCTTCCTGTTCCTACTCCTTCTCCTGTCCCCCCGCGGGCGGCGCTGCGGCGAAGTTCAGCAGCTAGACGCGCCTCGGGTCCTCGGGAGCTGGGGGGGGGGGTATCGGGGACACCAACACAGTCCGCACTAATGCTCTCCAACTCGTCACCGAGCCGTCGCACCGTGGGAGCTTGGACGCGAAACCCCAATGGAACCCTTACGGCGCATGCGCCGAAGCGGCTCCATTAGGCTCGCATGCAAGGTCACCGCGGTCGAGTCGGTGAGGGTGAGCGTTAAAGGGCTGATAACCTGTGTATGGGGTTGAAGTACAAGAGTACAGAACCCCTGATCCGTTGGTAGAGAGATGGAGGGATAGATGGATATCTGTCCCTCCCAAGCGATCAAGGTGCGATCGCTCCAACTCAGTACCTGAGCCCAAACGGCCAGGTGCGGGAGAGGTAAGGATAAGGAGTATATATGAGGGTATTACACGGGTTCCTTCCACACTACCAGGATGGGCGAGCTCTTGCCTGGTCTGCGTATCACCGATCTTCACTGATCCCCTCCCCTCTGCAGGAGCTCACAAACATGGCGGCAATTGAGCAGCTCGGCAGCACCCAAAGAGTGGCAAGGTAGCGTTTGGGTCTGCGTAAAAGCACACTCTCCGCTGGATCCCCTGGGAAATCACGAATGTGGCTGCAGTGTCGCAGTGCGCCAGCACTGGGGTAGAGCAAGCGATGAGGAAGCGGGGAGCGGGAGGGGCGGAAGGAAGGAGGATGAAGCAACAATGCTCTACCCAAGACGAAAGCCCACCACAATCGGCCTATGGAGAAAACTTGAAGATCAATCCGTCATGGATTGTTGATGACGCCGAAAGGCTGCGCCCGACGCAGCAAAGTCAATCCCTCCTGGACCTCTCCGCGAACGAAACAACACAGCGAAACCACGACAGCGGTCGCTTTTGGCTAGGCGTCGCTGGTCCAAAACGGACAACGCCCGCGGCGACACCAATAGCGGCCCCTGCTCAAAATGATAAATTGCTGCTGTCGGCCTTCGTTCTAAATCCGCCGTCCACTGCGACAACGCAACAGAAAACCGACCAGAGAGAACCGACATCGAGACCGAAACCGGCCGAAACCGACAGGCCGTAAACAGCACAGAAGGGCGCGGCCACGCAGCAACGCCACGGCAGCCGACCGCACCGAGCCGACCGAACGCAGCTGCCTGCGACGCAGCCGAACTGTCCCGGGGGCACCGCTGGGGATCCTCGCCCTGCCGCTCCCGGGCCCCGGCTCGGGCCTCCGGCGGCCGCTGCACAGCTCGAGGCCGCAGCGCCGCCCAGAGAGCCCCCGAGACCGCCGCACCGCGCACACCCTCGGAGGGCGCGCCGGTCGCCGAGGCCCTCCCCTCGGAGTCCTCCCCGCTCCTTCCGCCCCCACCTCCGCCGCAGGGCCCGGGCGGGGAGGGGGCCCTCCTTCCCCACCTCCGGCGCGGTCGCCACTGGCCACCTGGCGCGGGCAGGCGAGCCCAGAATGGAATCGAGAAGTCGCATCGGCGATCGGAACGAGTCGGATCGGAAGAAATCGGCAGCCGAGCCGGAAAAAGTCGAATCGGCAGAAATCGGCAGAGAAGTACGTCCCCATTGATGGAATCGGAGCCCGAATCGGAGTCCGAAGACGGATCCAATCGGCATCGGAAGCCAGCGGAACCGAATCGAAAAGCGACTCGGAGTAAGCGGAGCGAGCCCTGCGCGGGAGGCGCGTGCGGGCAGGAGCGCGGCCCAGAGGGGCTCCGGCGCACGACCGCAGGGCTCCCTGTGACGGCCTGGTGCCAGGAGGGGGGTGCAGAGCTCCCGGCCGTCGCGCGGGCGGGGGGGGGGGGAAAGTGGCGCTCGCGGCGAGCTGGCGCAGGAGTGAGGCAGCTCTCGGCCGTCGCCGTCGTCGGTCGACGGTCAGGGATCGGGAGGCGCGCTGGTGGGCAGGTCGGGGGCGCAGCTTCTGAGCCTTCAGCGGGGGAGGTGGATCCACGGGCGGCTGGCAGACGCCACAGCATCACCGTTGGAGTCATTCGTCCCGGAATTGGCACTCCCCGACGATCGAGCGTGTTCCTTGCCCTCATCTCCCAAATCAGGGGATCCCTGTACGTGGATCTTGTAGATGGATGGTTCCTTAACGATGCCATGCGACATGGCGGCTCTGTTCCAGAACATCAACTAGGGGCTCGACCACGAGAAACCTTCCACAAGAAACCCAACCTAGAGATCCCAGGACGCCCATTGACTTTTGGTGTGGGAACGTCAAACTTTTCATCGCAAAAAACATCGAAACCCAAGAAACCCAGGGCACCCTGGAGGCAAGCAGGTTGCTTCTTGGCATGGGCCCCCACGGTACGTACGAAAGATATGCGCGCGCGGCTCATGGTGAGCACAGCCACTTCCCTGCCCCGGCGCGGGCGCGCCCGATCCTCACAAGCCACTTGAGCCACACTGCGCGACGTGTCGCGCCCACGCGCGCGTGCATGAATTTTGTGCAGCGGGAGCGGTGGGAACGACTCCCCCCGCGGCGGGCTCCAGGGCGCCAGACCTGTAGCCCATTTGTCTGGCCATGTCTGGCATGCCGTGTTTTGGCATGTCTGGCCATTTGTGCTTCGACAAACATCTCTTCGTAGTAATTGCAAAAGGGACCATTGTATCTTTGTAGCTCATCTAGCAATCGCATTGTTCATGGGTGTCTGCGCGGAGGGCAGACTTCCACTTCCACTCTTCTTCCGAACGCATGCTCGTACTCTAGCTGCGCAACGGGAGCAGTGGTGACGACTGCCTGGGCTACTCCGCATGCGCTCTGTGGTCTTGCATCTGCGGGCCGTCGATGCCCGCCGCAAATGCTCGCATCCCTTACATCCCTCTTTGCACATCCCCCGTACGTCCCTCCCCTCCTCCTTCCCTCCGCCGTCCCCCTTTCTCTTTCTCCTGAACCTGCTCCTCCTGCTCTGACTTTCGTGCCCGCTCCCTCCTCTCATCCTTCGCCTCCTGCTCCGTCCTCTTCCTCGTACCTTTGTCCCCACCCCGTCTCCTTGTAACGTGTTATATCAGGTGTGTGTGTGTGTGTGCGTGTGCGTGTGCGTGTGCGTGTGCGTGTGCGTGTGCGTGTGCGTGTGCGTGTGCGTGTGCGTGTGCGTGTGCGTGCGTGTGTGTGTGTGTGTGTGTGTGTGTGTGTGTGTGTGTGTGTGTGTGTGTGTGTGTGTGTGTGTGTGTGTGTGTGTGTGTGTGTGCGATCTCTCTCTCTCTCTCTTCTCTCTCTCTCTCTGTCCCTCTCCCCCTTTCTGTCTATATATTTGTTATATACATACATGCATATACATATATACAGATGTATTTCTCCATGTGGTTGTTGTCGCTCTGTTTCCCCTTCTCTTGCCCTCCTCCTCCTCTTCCTCCTCGTCCTTCTTCCCTTCTCCGTACCCTGCATCTCGGTCTCACCACCCTCGCAACGGAGAAGCGATGAGAGAAAGGGGACAGGGGAGAGAAGGGGGGAGAACAGCGGCGGTCCCAACCGCGTTATGGCACCGCTGAGGACATGGCAAGGGTGAGAGCCCACTTCTCGCGCCTTCCTCCTCCTCCTCCTCCTCCTCCTCCTCCTCCTCTTCCTGATCCTCTTGTTTCTCCGATGCAGGCCCCCGTCGGACTCCTCCTCCGCCCTCCCTCCATCCCTTTTCCTCCTCTTCATCTTCCTCCTCCTCCCTCGCCACTCTTCCCTCGCTTTCTCACTCGTGCCATCCCCCTTCCATTATTCTCCTCATCCGGGCATTCCTTCTCCCCTCTCCCCCCCAGTCCCCGTCCTGCCCCCTTTTCTTCATCATCCGCCTCACCATCATAATCATCATCGTCGCCATCACCATCACCACCACCATCACCACCGTCGCTCTCCTCCTCCCCCGCATCTTCCTCCGACTCATGCTTCGGCGCCGTCTCGACACTCCTCCTCATGTGGTGGCCCCGGCACCTGGCAGCCCGTCCCATGCCGTCCATCGACGGCACGGAATACCCGGGGTCCCAGGACCTCGGCTGCGCACGAGGGGTGAAAGGCGGGGTGAAGACGGGAAGCAGAAGGGCGAGGACGAGGAGGATGGAGAGGGGGAGGGAAGGGGGCAGAGGAGGATTGATGGAAACTCAATTTTGCTCGCACACGGGATGACCTCAAGCCCGCACTCTCTTGAAAGGCACGGGCAACACGCGCGACGAGAGAAGGCAACCGATGGCCCAAAAAGCCCAAACGCGAACGAAGGCGAGGAGTCCGAAGACGCCAAAACGGGCAGTAATACCTTGAACGGGCAAGTTCGCACGCCAGCATTCACAAGGGCAGATCGTAACGCGTGACTATGTGCATTCTCACGCACATCGCCATCCGCATCCTCCTCGAACGCTCGCCCCGCCCTTATCAGAGGCGCGGCCCAAGATGGAACACGGGGGAAGACTGAGGCGGGATCTGGAGGCTAGGGGAAAAGAAAATGGCGATGGGAGACGAAGGAACGGCAAAACGCTCGGCCCCAGCACCCTTCCCCATAAACCTGCCCTTGCCCCCGCGCTATTACGCAAGAGCAAACAGGTCAGCGCGATTAGCTGGAGGAACACCTCTCGGGCCTGCGGGTGGGTATTCGAGCAGACAACCACACGGAACGGCACCTGGATGAACACCAACAATGCCTTCGCTGCCATGGCTATGCTCGTGATAATGCTTCGGGTCCATGCCGCTGCTCTTGCCGTCATTATTACTCCAACGGTCGTCGCGGCCAACCCGAAGATCGGCATGGGCGGATGCCGCACAACGGACAGCTCGATGATCAGAAACACCCGCACCAGCCAGCACTGGGAGATCTCTGGCGCGTGCAGCAGTAGCAAAGCGGGCGCCCCGATCACATCGAGCGTGAACAAAAACAAACAGAAATTCTGAAACACGTCAAGCACCAATACAACAAACGGAACTTCGCGCACCTGCCCGAATTGTCGAGATGCCCAGGATCAGAGGCAGCCGGGTCGGGGCCACAGGCGGCGCACAGATCCGCGCACAGCGCCGATCAGCGTAGGGCGTCGACCAGGATGCCCGAGGGCGGCGAACCCCCGCAGTAGACAAAGCCTGCGTTAAGCGGGGATGTGTGGTGGGCTTGTTTTCCACCGCCGCCACCATAAAACGGAGGGGGAGGGGGTCCTCCTCCTCCTCCTCCTCCTCCTCCTCCTCCTCCGCCTCCTCCTCTGCGTCCTCCTCCTCCTCCTCCTCCTCCTCCTCCTCCTCCTCCTCCTCTGCGTCTTCCTCCTCATCCTCCACCTCGTTCCCCCCTCCAACTTATGGTGGTCGTGGTGGTGGAAAACAGGCCCATGAAATGTGCCGACCCCCGTCCCAGGCCTCATGGGGCTCTCGAGAGGACCAGCAAAATCTGGGGCCCAACCCGGGGACAGACACGACGAGGGGGCACCCCTCCCTGATAATCGAGGGCAGACCATCCACCCCGATAATAACCACCCCGACATGCGAAGCCGTTTGGCAAACGCGCCAAAGGAAGGAATCAAACCTTGGAAAGTTGCTCATGCTTCCTATGCGGGATGACTGTAGCCCCTGAATTGGCATAAGTGTTGCATATGCCTGCTGCGTGGGCTTCTAAGGTAGACAACATTCCAGGAACTGGGCGGGCCATCGCGGAATAAGCGCCTTCTCGTCCCAAAGCCGCGGTTGTGTCGACCGTCTCTAAGAAGGCCCATGCGCACAAGGCACCAAGAAGCGCAATCGACCCGTGCACCACCTCTTGGTAGCCAAGGACCTGCATGAGGAGCAACGATAGGGGTGGGCTGGCTCTGGGGGAGGGGTGGGGTAATCGAGCTGGAATCGGCGATACATCGTCGCTTGATGAGCGACAAGTCCTCGATAATCAAACCGCATGCTCCTGCTGGACGGCGTGGGCTGTCAGGCCACGATCGGCGATGGATGGGCGACTGGGGGGCTGGGGGGAATTGCTTGCGGCTCGCAAAGTCCTGATGTTCGTTCTTCCTCCTCCTGCGCCTCCTCCTCCTCGTTCTCCTCGTTCTCCTCGTTCTCCTCCTCCTCCTCCTCCTCCTCCTCCTCCTCCTCCTCCTCCTCCTCCTCCTCCTCCTCTTCCTGGTAACCCCACAAAACCCCTGAAGACTCGGTCCTCGATCCTCCACCTGGTTGACTGTCCATTGCGCGCCCGTGGCCCGTCGATGGATGGAGCTTTTAGCAGCAGCAGAGGCCACCGCCACGATCCACCTCCACGGATGGCCTCCTCCTCCTCCTCGTCCTCCTCGTCCAACTCCTGCCCTCCAAATGGTTCACGCATCACCCCTATCCATGAACGGAACGAGGGTACCGCACACCGACACGACGAGGCTGTGCAACGGTCGAAAGCTGGAGCGCTGGGTGACCGGGAGCGAGCCTCATTCTTGGCAGGGGCGACGTGTGGCGCGCTGCCCCAAAGGGGGGGGGCGCGGGGGCGGGGGTCCCAGACCCATGCGCGCGCGGGCCGCTGCTGTCGGATCGTCTCCGGCCCTCGGGAGGCACCGGTGGGCCCGCGCCAGAAAGGTGACTCTGGCGGAGAGGGAGAGAGGGGCCACGCCTGCCGGTCAGTACACCTGGGCATCCGTGATGGCGCTTTGCGCCCTGCGCGGCCCCAGAGACCACGGTCGCTTCCCTGCGGGGAAGCGCTTCGTCCCAGATCCACGTCTGGTGTCCCCGGGGCCCGGTAACGGGCCCCATGGGGTGGAATCGAAGCACGGCGCCAGGATTGAGACATCATTCCTTGGGGACCAGAGAACACCAACGCCGCCACTATCCCTGGACGTCTCCAGGGGTGCGTCCTGATTTTTACCTCACGGAGAATTCAGCCGTGGCGACGCGGGCTCCCCCGGACGTGCAGCGGCAGCGGCACCTTCCCCTCCCAGAAGCCTCGTTCGAGAGCTGGGTCGCCGAGCAGCCTGCTGTTAGCACGGAGGGAAGGGGGCCCTGGACCCTGAGGCCCGCCCCCCCAGATCAGCTCTTCGTCCTGAGTCGCTTCCTGACAGTCACGGGGCCCCTGGAGGGCCCTGGGAGCCCGAGAACGGCGAAAAGCCTCAGGACCCGTGTCCCTTCTTAGTATCCCTGGCCTTCCGGAGTGACAGGAAGTAGGCCTCCAGGCCTACACACCTGTCTCGACTGCCCAAAACCTCGGCTGGAATCTGGGTGTCGAGGCCTTTGGTGCTGTTGTGTGAGCCCTCCGGGAAGGTCAGGGACTTTCCCCTCCCACGAATAATTAACGTCGGAGATCGGGGCCGCCGGGCAGCCTAGGCTACCCTTAGATCCGGCGTGTCCCCCCATAGGCGGATTTTGGACGAAAGATCAAAGTATTCAAGAAAGTCTAATCCTTTTTGTTGGGGGGGGAAGCTCCAGATTACCTTTTTAACTATCCCAGACCCCCGACGTCGTGATTTTTTCACAACGTCGACCCCCAGAAGTCTGGACCCCTTCCCCAGGACCGGTGTTTCGTCCTGAGTCGTCTTCTGACGGTCCCGAGGCCCGGGAAGGGCCCCCGGAGGCCGAAACTGATGCAAATCGCCAGGAGGTCTGGGACTTTTGAATGTTCCTCCAGCTGGAGGGACTTGCCCGACTTGAGGCTGCCCCCCGCGGGGCCGGGCTCGCGGGGCCGGGCCCGCGGCCCGCCGGCGACGCCGCCGGGGTTCTGCACGAAGCCGCCGGGCCTGGGCGGCCCGCCGGCGAGCCTCGGCGGCGCGCGGCGCGGGGCTTCGGGGCGGAGGGGCGCGGCCGCCAGGGGGGCGGGGGGGGTATGGCGAGGGCGGAAGTGTCGGGAGGCAACTGCTGGGGGGTCTTCGTAGGAAGGACTATAAGGAGGATTAAGTCCAATGGGGGGGCTGTTTTGCACCAGATTGGGCCTCGGATTAGACAGGATTTCAAGCCGGATCAAGCGGGGTGGGGCATGGCGAGGGCGGAAGTGTTGGGAGGCAACTGCCTGACCTTCCAGGAGGGCTGAAACATAGCCCTCCAGACCCACAGACCTATCTGGACTGCTTAAAGCCTCGACAGGTATTGAGACGCCAAAGTCCTGGTGTTTTTTGTTGCCCTCGTGGAAAGACAGGGTCCTGGGGGGCCTTCGTCGGAAGGACTAAGGAGGATTTCGCATTAGGCCCAAGTTGGGGTCTGTTACGCCAGATGGGGCCTCGGATTAAACATGATTTCAAGCTGGATCAAGCGGGACTGAGCCAGACTAAACAGGAATGGGCCAAATTACGCCGGATTTCGGCCCAGGGCAGAGGCAGAATTTGACCGCATCTCCGAGACCCGTCGGCTCTGGATGGTGTAAGCGCCGCGGCCTTCTCAGAGCGTTCCGGCCGGGCCGCTCTGGAACGGATCTCTCCTCGTCCTAGCCCCGTCCGAAAGGGGCAATTCCTGGGAGGTCCTCGAGAACGGTCACGGGTTCTCGATGCAGATCAGTGGGCCGTGAAGCTGGACGAGCCACCGAGGTGAGTGCTCCAACGGTTGTGGGATTCCGACATGCCTGGCCACCAACTTACGAGAATTCCTGGGGGTGCGTCGCGTGGGCCTCCGGAGAGCTGCGCTCGCCCAATAGCCAGCTCCCGCAGCCATCCACAGCCAGCTCAGGAGCTCTCGGGAGCCCCCCAGGGGAACCTTCCTGGGGCTCCCCTGGAGGCCTCTTGGGCCGTCTCGGAGGCCCTGGGGGCTGGCTCAAGATGAAGGGGCCCCAGGACACACAAATAAACAGACACAGATACAAAGATTCCCCACAGTCTCCCATATTTCGTATGTTTTTCGTCTTCCCCCCCACACTCCCCATATTTTTGTCCCACATCTTCTGCGGAATCGACGATTCATTGTGTCTGTGTGTTCTTCGGGGAAACCAAACCGCAAACTCCCCGGGCCTCTCCCGGGTGCGTTCTGACCAGGATTTCGAAGCGAATCCAGCGGTGGCGACGAGGGCCTCCCAGGAGGCCCAAACAGGGGAAAAACGAGGAAAGGGCAGAGGTAGGGGTACCCTCTCCTCCTCTGAGCTCTTCCTCCCTCCCGACCAAGGGGGGCCGAAAAGGCCTCGCGTGGGTTGGATTCTGCTCGAGCCCTGCGCGCTCGGCGCGTCTGCCCGTCGGAGCGCCCACGGCGGCCCAGCGGCCCTCCCCGAGAGGCCACGGGCTCCCTGAGGCCCCCCCCCAAAGAGGCCCCCCAAGCGGGCCACGAGAGCTCCTCCTCCTCCTCCTCCTCCTCCTCCTCCTCCTCCTCCTCCTCCTCCTCCTCCTCCTCCTCCTCCTCCTCCTCCTCTCCGTCGGGCCTGTCCCTCTACAGGAGGAGTACTCAAAAATAGTCCCAATTATCCGGGCGAAGGACCCAACCATATGAAATTGTGAATAACGCTTTGTGGGTGCCGCTTTCGGTGGGGCCCCTTATGGGGCCACGAAAGGCGTGCCACGAAACGCTGTCCTGGGCGTATGGACGCATGAGGACGGTAGCACTGGGGCCTTCGGTGGAGCTCCATATGGGGCCACGAAACGTGTGAGGGGTGTGCCGAAATGGGTGCGGCGCCGCCATGCGAACGCAGCCACTGGGGCCTTCGGTGGAGCTCCCTATGGGGCCACGAAACGTGTGAGGGGTGTGCCGAAATGGGTGCGGCGCCGCCATGCGAACGCAGCCACTGGGGCCTTCGGTGGAGCTCCCTATGGGGCCACGAAACGTGTGAGGGGTGTGCCGAAATGGGGGGTGGAACCGCATGCGGACGCAGCCACTGGGGCCTTCGGTGGAGCTCCCTATGGGGCCACGAAACGTGTGAGGGGTGTGCCGAAATGGGGGGTGGAACCGCATGCGAACGCAGCCACTGGGGCCTTCGGTGGAGCTCCCTATGGGGCCACGAAACGTGTGAGGGGTGTGCCGAAATGGGGGGTGGAACCGCATGCGGACGCAGCCACTGGGGCCTTCGGTGGAGCTCCCTATGGGGCCACGAAACGTGTGAGGGGTGTGCCGAAATGGGGTGGGGAACCGCATGCGGCGCAGCCACTGGGGCCTTCGGTGGAGCTCCCTATGGGGCCACGAAGGTGTGAGGGGTGTGCCGAATGGGGGGTGCATGCAGCCACGGTGGAGCTCCTAGCCCCGAAATGGGGGGTGGAACCGCATGCGGGCGCAGCCACTGGGGCCTTCGGTGGAGCTCCCTATGGGGCCACGAAACGTGTGAGGGGTGTGCCAGAATGGGGGGTGGAACCGCATGCGGGCGCAGCCACTGGGGCCTTCGGTGGAGCTCCCTATGGGGCCACGAAACGTGTGAGGGGTGTGCCGAAATGGGGGGTGGAACCGCATGCGGCGCAGCCACTGGGGCCTTCGGTGGAGCTCCCTATGGGGCCACGAAACGTGTGAGGGGTGTGCCAGAATGGGGGGTGGAACCGCATGCGGACGCAGCCACTGGGGCCTTCGGTGGAGCTCCCTATGGGGCCACGAAACGTGTGAGGGGTGTGCCAGAATGGGTGTGGGAGGGGGAGGAGGGGGGAGGAGGGAGGGAGGAAGGAGGCGGGAACGCGGGGCACCGTCTCTTCAAAACGAGGACCCAACACCACAGGATGGTTGGGAAAAAACGGGGGACGATATTTTGACTATGTTTTTGACTATTTCAATTATTTTGGAGAATGTTTTATCTTCCGTCCAGAATCCGCGTGCAGGGGGACATGCCCGACCTAACTCTGGGGCCACACACACACACACACACACACACACGCGATTGGCCACCGATACCGCCTTCGGGCCCGCAACGAGGCCCCCAGGGGCCCCGAAGAGGTCCTCGGGAGGCCCCGAGGAGTCCACAGGATGCCGCCCACAGGCCACAATGAGGCTTCGAAGAGGCCTTCCAGAATACCTCGAGGGGCCTCTGAGAACCTTCTCGTCTACGACCCATGCGCGGTGGCGGGATGGACCGAAGGCCACTAGATCAGCCGCCCACTACTGCCTGCAAGAAGGGCTGTTGCCCTGCCACATGTTTGCACAAACGGAGTGGGTACGGGAAACTTGGGTGCGATGTCCAACAACAAATACTGTCCAAAACCGACAGCGGCCGCTGTTGGGCAGGCGGCAGTCTGTCTCAAATGGACAAGACCCGCGGCGGCACGGACAGCGAATCCGGTTCAAAATGAAAAAGGATGATGTCGGTCTTTGTATCATTTTTCCCGTACCGATCTTGATCGTCCCCAACATGTCAAATACCAATTTGAACCCCTCCGAAAAATTCCCGGTGGGGTACCGGCGCGTCTCGCTGGCCACCTGTGCGGACTGGCCACCTGTGCGGCCTTTTGTTCTGTCCAAGGTGGCTCCCAAAAGCTCCCAAATGGCCTCGATGGCCCAAGCTGGCCTTCAAGACGGCCGTCTTGGGCCACGA